GTGGGGCTGAGTTGCTGACTGGGGTTAAATCACAAGAAGGAGACAGAGGGTGAGGAGGAGGAGGCTGTGCCAGGGGGACCAGAGGGACTAAAGGCTCTGTATTTCAGCTCTGTGTTTTGAGCTGAATTTGTACAAATGGAGTATGAAGACAATAAATGAAAGGAAGAAGCCTGTGAAAGGTGGAGAAGGAGCAGTTTTCAAGGCAGTGCTCTGTGTGCTCCCACAGTGTCATTCTGTGGCTGTGTAAAATGAAGACAGCACTTTAAAAACTGCAGCACTGCCCTTTCCTTCGTGTTGCACTTCACATTTTCAGCTCTGCTCTGTTCATGCTCTCCATTGGGGTTTGTCAGGCTTCAGCAAGTCTGCAGTTGCTGAAGCAGACTGACGTACGTGATGGCAGGTAGTCACCCACACGTGTGTGTATGTACTATATTTGTTGGTACTGTGGTGTTTAAGTTTGCAAAGCACAGTGCTGATATTAACCAGCCAGTCCAAGGGGCTTGTGTCCCACTGCATTCATGATAAAGCATGATGGCTGCGTATCACCTGGCATTTATATGTTGGAGTTTTACATGAGCAGCTTTTATTTTATTGAGACACACTTTTACTGGAGTCCTTGCAGCTGAGTGCTAATCAGAGTGCAGGAGAGGAGAGATGAACATCCCAAAAGATATTTATAGATCTGTGCTCCCAGTCCTTTGCTCTTCACTATGAAAGCAATTCTACAAAAGGATTATTTTGACTGGCTGTTCAAGATTCCAGAGGAGGAGATTAATGTGCAGGAAGCCTCGCAGTGCAAGTGGAAAAGCTCGCTGGCTTTGCACATTTTCATGAGCTTCATGGCTCAGTCTGTCAAGGTTATCTTCCTCAGACAGGACGATGTGGATGTCAAACAGCAATGCAGCAGGCAAAAGGGCTGGGGTCTGACAGCAGCTGCTGAAGCACAGAATTACCTGTGCCTGAAGAGGTCTGACCACAGCTGGGGATTATAGACAATGCAGGCACTGTTCCCCAGGTTGTGTGTCCCTCCTCCCCATTCCCCCCCTTTTTTTTGCCTACTTGAGAAAATCCCCTATTTCAAATGGCCAGTTGAGATATGATAGAGGTGTCTTGCACCAATCTTTCTCCCGGGTAGGCAGGGTTTCCCAGTGGTGCTAACTTTGCCTGATCCAGATGATGATCTTGTGTGTATGTTTGGGGCTCAGGGAGAGGGAACAATTTAATGTGCAGATAAGGCAGAAGCTGTTTGAAGAGTCATTATAGTTCCATCTTAGTCCTCCCTTGCCAAGGCAATTTCCCAAATTGCAAAAATATTGCGAGAACCTCCTTTTATCCTGCAGCTATTTCAGTGCCAAGGGATATGAAAAGGTAATATTCCTACTCACAAGGCATTTCTGCTCTGGCTATGTAACAGTGTTGCCTTGCCATGGTAAAGGGACAGGACTACTTCTTCCACGTCTCCCATAACATACTGATTTCTAGTGCTTTTCCTCAATCAGAACCCTCAGAGTGATATTGCACTTAAAAACAAACAAACAGAAAACCAAAACAAACCAAAACCAAAACAAAACAAAGCCTCAAACAAACAAAACCCAAAAACGACCAACCAAAAATGATTTAAAAAAACCCCAAAACAGCCCAAACCAAAACTGAAAACCCCTTGCATTTCCTATTTTGAGGCAGTCATACCAAACTGATTCTTGCTGGCAAAGCTTTTTTCTCCCTGCACACACAGAAATCTTAGCAAGCCCTGGAGTTGATGTCATGGGGTTTTTGTTGCAGACACAAGGGTGACACCCAGTTTTCCTCCATGCATACATCCAGGATGGCTTTAGAACAAACCTTGGCAAGAAGGGGTGATAGGCTGGGTTTCCAGCAAAGCATCAGTGATGCCAACCCCCAAAATGCCAAAGTGTCCTAGGATGCCAAGAGGTGCCTGGGGATAGGTGGATTTCAGACGAGCATAGCAGAAGAGCAAAGCACAGAGGAGGGTGTGGTGAGAGGCATTGAGCAGGAGCAAAGCAAGGAGCTGAAAAACAAAGAGCAGGACAAGGAGAAAGCAAAGGCATCAAACAGCTCAGCTCTTGTGACCTGGCCAGCACATAGAGTGAAGTCCAGGAGTTTGGGTCAGCCAGCTGGAAAGCCTGCTGGCATAAACTCCTGGTATGCTGTGAGTGTTTTCACATTATGACAGCTTCAAACCTCAACAGCCTGATTACTACCCCATTTTACATGAGACTCCTGCCGAAAAGAACCCACCTTTTGGATGTCTTTGATAGAAGGGAAGCTATTTTTTTTCATGCAAAGTCGTAGCAGGTTCATGTGCTTGTGCTGCCACTTGTAAATCAAAAGCAAGCTGCAAGCTGTCTGGTAGGTTTGCACCGGTGTAAAACCAGCAGAAGACAGAGAAGGCTCAGTCCCTGCTGCAGGAGCATGACCGGGAGTTGTCCCACCACAGATGCCCTGAGGACCTGTGCTGTCTCCTTCTCCCTCTCCTGTCAGCAGCTCCCTCCTGTCTGCTCATGTCTATGCACAGCTCTTCTTCTTTGTGGTCATAACACTGATCTCTGCTTAGACAATCTTCTTCTTTTGACTTAATTCCACAGCTGCTTTTAGGTGATGTTTTTTTCTTCTCAGAAGATAAGTAGGTGCTTAGCATTAAATACCGTCCCTAAATACCAGCTACAATCCTGTGCTCAATAGACCACAAAACATAAACTTTGATGTTCAAGTAAGAAAAGAGCAGTTTCTAGGGGAAAAAGGAGAACTTCAGTCTGAATAAAAGCATTCTCAAAGAGCTATTGTGCTTTTCTTTTTGTTCTTGGATTTGTTTTGGTTTTTTTCCTAAAGCAAATTTGGCAAGAGTTAAAAATCTGAAGAAAATATCAGAAGCCAAATCTAAACCTATTTATGGCCTTGCTTCTCACACAGTTGTGTTTGTGTGGACTGTAGGGAAGGTATCCCAGAAAAACAACCTTTTTCTATTAAGATAACAGTAAGTCACAGCTCACAATGTGAACTCTTGCCAGTTCATTTCTGTATATTTGCTTGTACCCAAAGTACCTGAGAGATTTCCATATTTAATAGTAAAGATTATAAAAAATTTGCATGATAGAAAAACTGGATAAAAACACCATTGTAGGTAAATGTGTTCCCATTGAACAAGATGGATTTTGCAGCTTGGCGCCTGCTGGGAACTCCTACGTGATGATGTCCCCATCCAGAGAGAGGCAACCAATTGTCTGGCCATGGATGCTATGCAGCACTCAGACCTCTTAAGTAGCACATGGTGGAGTAGAGAGAGACAGAGAGATGGGGGAAAAGTTGTTCAGGGCTCAGTCCAGGGGAAATAGTACTTTTTATTCATTTCCTACTAAAGGTAAGCATGTTTCATAAGGCTTTTCCCCATCACAATATAGGCAAAAGGGAACAGAGTAGTTAGGGTCAACAAGTGATGTGCACTTTGGATGAGGATGCTTTCCAGCAATCTGACAGAAGCTTTCTGCAGCCATCTGTATTGAGTTTTCATGGCAAGGTTTTGGTAGGGGAGGGCTACAGGGGTGGTTTCTGGGAATCTGACAGAAGCTTCCCCCATGTCCAACAGTCCCAATGCCAGCCAGCTCCAAGCAGGCCTACTGCTGGTCAAGGTTGAGCCCACCAGTGGTAGTGCGTCTAGGATAAGATTAAAGAGGGGGAAAAAGTCATTGCACAGAAGAAAATTGGTGTTGGAGAGAGGAGTGAGAATATGTGAAAACAGCAGCTCTGCAAACATCAAGGTCAGTGAAGAAGTAGGGGGAGGAGATGCTTCAGGTGCCAGAGGATGTCCAAAGGAGGCTGTGACCCTTTGGGAAGCTCACACTGGAGCAGGTTTGCTGGCAGGACCTGTGACCCCACAGGAGACCCGTGCTGGAGCAGTTCATGAAGAACCACAGCCCGTGGGAAGGACTCTTATTGGATAAATTCATGGAGGAGTGATTCCTGTGGGAAGGACCCCACACTGGAGCAATGGAGGAGTATGAGGATTCATCCCCCTGAAGAAGAAGTGGTAGAGGCAATATGTGATGAACTGACTGTAATCCTCATTCCTCATCTCCCTGTTGCGCTGGGGGAAGGAGGGAGAGAAATTGCAAATTAAGTTATATCTGGGAAGAAGGGATGGGGGAAAGGTATTTAAAGATATAGTTTTATTTCTCATTATCCTACTCTGATTTCATTGGCAATAAATTAAATTAATTGCCCCAAGTGTAATGGGCTTCAAGCACTAAAACTGGAGTACAGCTGTGTAGTCTGTGCCTATAAAATACTGAATGCTCATAGCTGTCACTGACTTTCATGGAGTTATTTGTAGTAGGAAGGATGCAGGATGCATGCCTGGTAATGAAAGATGTATTTCTGTGCTCATCTGCAATGCTCACAGCATTAGTGTACTGCCTCTTTCAATAAGGTAGATGGATCAAGAGCTTTTGCTTGTGACCTAGAGACCTGGGGTCTCCTTACTGGTGAGGCTGATGGAGATGTGGCCAGGGAGGGCACACGTCTGAGAGCAGCAGTGTTACTGAGGCTCACCGACATTATTTCTCCTTCCAGCTACTTGTGGACTAGTCAGGCACTTGCCAACAATGTCATGATAGCCTGGCTGGTTTCTTCCAGCCTTCTGCTGTTCCACACAGCTAGCCAAATGCTGAGACATACTTCTGATATCAAGGTTTCTATTTTGCTCCTGTGTAAGAAGGGCAATAGACACCTTTTCATGTTATATGTCTTCTTAGATCACAGATACAATCTCTTGTTTCTCCGTGCATCATCTGTACCTGATGAGTGAGAGAGCCTGTGGTTGTGTTGGTCTGACAGGCATCAGAGATCAGGGTGCTGCCTATCTTCTGTGAAGCCGTAGGAAGTGCTTCATGATTCAAGATAAGACCTTCACTTCCCCTTTCTGAGCTCATAGGGCTGATTTGCCACCGAGGCTGCAACATCTACCCTGACAGCCTGCTTAGAAAATGGACCATGAGACCCTGGGAAGTGTTGTCCTGCTTGCCATTGTCACCTTGATAAGTGTTGTCCAAAACGGTAAGACAAAAAGCATTTATTTAGGGGCTAAAAGGGAGCTGGGGAAAGTTCAGGACGATGTACGCTGAGCTGATATTTGGATAGATAATCTCTGGTTATAAGTGCATGTGTGCTTAGGCGTGGCTTTGGCTTTAGAAATGGTCTGCCAAGCATGGAATTTTGTGTGCCATTGTGGCAGTGTCCTGTCAGTTGCATGATCCTACTCTGCAATATTCTAGAGTTAGCTTTTTATACACAGGAGAGCTAATGAAAGGACCTGTGGCAATATGCATTTTGATCTGATGACTGGGACCTCCTTTCCTGGCCTAAGTCCCTAATGTGGTCTGCCAGGGCTGCTCTCAAGCCAGTTCTCCTGCTTTGCTGCATCTCCCAGTCCCACAGTGTAACTAATCTCAATTAACTGTTGTCCTAAGAACACTGCACATTTGCTGCAATGGTGAAGTTTCCTTTTCTAGCTCTTATCCAGACTTCCTATAGCCTCTACTATTCTTCAGGATTTTTTAAACAAAACAAGTTTCTCTCCTGTGCAAATTTTATTTTAACTTGATCATCATGTCTTACAAATACTTAATTATTTTAGCAGGAAATTCTGCCCAGAATACAAAGAAAGGAGTGAATTTTGCCCCAGCTGCACTGAGTTTGCCCTCATTCAAGGAGAATCAGCAGTGGGATGGGAGGCTGGTGCAAATGCCAGAAATCCTCTGCGAGGGCTTCTTGTTATGAATGAGAGATTCCCACTGAGCATAAACTCCATATTCAGTCCTAGGAAATGGGCTATTCTTAGGCTGCTGCAGAGAGGGGAAGTGGTGGGAGCCTCAGCATAAGCCTAGCTGCCAGAGACCAAACAAAAAAAGGACATGCAGGCTGGTTTAGTTTTGACATAGGCAAAAAATACCACCTTGTTTAACCCAATGTTTTTTTCTGGTAAATGCACAGCATGTGACATCACCAGAATATGGCACGTTGAGACCAGAGCATGTATTGTAATTAAGAAAATGTGTCAAATATACATTTCTTGCCATTTAATTGCATGAGTTTATATACAGGGTTTTTTCCTCTCACTCAGACATGTCATCCCAACATACACTTTTATCTCATGGAAATCTGTCTGTGAGATTATTGACCCAAATGCTACAAAGGGGAAGCAGAACACTTGGCAGAGGACTTAGTGTGCCAAGCATGAGAGGCAGACAGCCCTAAACCATAATTTCAGGCCTTGCACCATCTGATTTCTTCTTCCTAGGCTTTCTATCTAGAAAGACCAGACCTGATAAGCAGTCCTGCAATCAATGCAATAGCTAAGGCAGAAGAAATGCTTGTCAAGGGATGTCAGTTGTACTGAACTCTTCCTATGGCTCTTGTTCAGCAAAGCACTTGGGCATCTGCTTGACTGTACGTGAAGTCAGTACCATGTAAATTTGTGATTATATGCTTTTCTGCATCTGGTGCAGGATTAGAAAACCGTTCAGGTGAATTTTGTTATTCCTAAAGATGGAGGTGGGCTGTGGTGCGGTCCCAGTCTCATGTCCATTTATTGTCACCTTGTTCATGTTGGAAATCTCCATATGCTACAGAATGACTTGTGTGGCCAGATGCAGCTGATTCACACATGCAGCTTTAGGCTTTGTTCTTTCCTCAGAGAGATGTTGCAATCCAGCAGCTTCCAGAGAAAATTGGTAGTCATCACTGAGCAGATCGGGATGGAGGAAGCAAGATGAAGTTGACAGAAAAAAGGGGCACGTTTGCCAGCACTGGCTAGTCTCAATCATAAGCTCATGGTTTCTATTGACATGGACTTGTGAAACAACCAGGTTTGGATTGAACTCTTGCACATTAACTTGACCAGAGTGGGATTGCAGTGGATCAGGCTCAGGGCAGCCTATGCAGCCCTTGGAGCCTCAGGGCATCATCTCCTGGAGCAGCTGATCTGAATTAAATCTCTCAGCTCCAGCCGTGCTCCACTCACTCATCTCATGAGTGCTTGTGAAACCACCCTCTTGCCTCTCGGTGTGGAGGAACCTCTCTGTAGCAGCATGCTGGCATTTGGGAAGTGACAGCACCTACTGCAGCAGAGGGGAGACAAATAGCTTACTTGGTTTTCTCTGAAGCTGTGGTGTCTTCTAGTGATTTCACATACATGCTAAAAAAAAAGGAGAAGGTATGCTACATATCCCAGTGAGCTCATACAGTCCCAGACCTGCAGGAAGTGGTTTCTCATCACTGCAGCTTTGCACTGGACAAAAAAAAATTCTGACCAACCTAGTCCTCTTCAATTAGGTCCTCTTAGTTGCTGTAGACAGGTTAACAGCCTGGCCTGGGGCAGATGGAGATGCTGAGATCTCTTGGTGGCTGTGCCACTGAATGGTGTCTGCTCTGGGTCCTGCAGGAGCCAGCCAGTGCACTGTGCTGGTGGCAGTGCGAGGGTCTGCAGCTTGGCTTGGAGTAGGGATGCTGGCTTAAAGCACTGTGGGTCTTTGTGGGCAAAGACTCTATGTACTCAGGGAATCACACAATATTGGAAAGTGGAAAACTTAGTAGCTTTTAGTTAAGTCAATGGAAATACAAAAGACCTACTTACAGCGTCAGTGAGGGGAAAATAAAAGAGGCTACTCTTCAGATTGCAGGGATGAAATCCTGCAGCTTATTTAGCTACACTTTTATTGTTAGAATCATGTATTTCCTGATGGGTTATCTTTTATGTGTGTATTTGGCTAATATTCTAAGCTATATAGTGATTTGGATACACTGAAATGGGGTGCACGATGACACAAAGCTTACAGCTTGTAGCCTGCCAGAGCTTTCTCTGATGTATTTAGACACATGATTGATGGTCTCTGGTTTAGTGTCATCAGATAAAACATGTTTGTCAAGCACATGATACATTATCTTGAGGTGCTGCATTTTTGCAGCAGCTAACCCTGACAAAACTCTGTTGCATAAAAGGAGGACACATACAGATCAGCCCTCAGGACCAAGCTTTCAATGGCCCTTTCTGGGAGAAGAACCAGCCCTGCAGGATGTCCCTGGTTTGGCAAATGGTTTTCACTAAAAGAGAATAGGCTGCCTTGTGTCCCTGCTCTGTTGGAGAGCAAGATTTGGGGTTGGCAGTTCTGACTACAAGGCTTTTTTTCCCACTGAGGGCTCAAAGGAGCGGTCAGGGCAGTGCCTCTGCAGCAGAAGTGCAGGCTGCCAGCAGTGCAGTGCAGGGATCAAGCCGGGCTTGGAGGTGAGAGGTAGCTACCTGTCACATATGGACACGTGGGGACACCTGAAGCAACCCTTGCACGGAGGGTTTGGTTCAGCCAGGGTGACAGAATGAGCACACAGGCCACATCCTGCACCTCCATGCACCTGTGTTCTGTCCTGCCATCTGTCCGGTCTGGATACTCATGAGAACAGAGCTGAGCACACAAGCCCCAGCTTCTATACTGTTTCCAAATTATGTCTCAGATTGAATACTTTGGGTTCTTTTCACAGCTTTTTTTGCTAACAAAGTGGAGCATGAAAGCAAACACTGCAATGGCAAGGGGCTCCAGCGGCAGGGAACCTCCTCCTTCGACCGTGTCTACACTGCCAGGTGAGTAGACAAGACCTGAGGAGCTGGTGAGGGCAGAGTGGGGTTCATCATGCTCTTCATTAGGGTTTAATCCAAACCCTTTCGTGGGCCAGAGCTGGGCTCCAAATGCCCTTAGGTGAAGGCTTTGTATGTAATCCCTTACACTGAGTGTTGTGACAGTGTTTGGACCTGTGGTTCTCCAATATGCTTGCCGGGTGAACCCAGCACTCTTCTGGACACCATGTGCTGCATCTATATAGGTCTTGCAGTTCTTGTGAGCACCATGTCCTTTCATTTGAGGACCAGTTCACCCTTCTGTGCTGGAAGTGTGACACAAGTACAGCCAGAGTCCCAAAGACACTGCAGCTCAAAAGGACAGACAGATACCAGGAGCAGGTCAGCAGCAGAGCTTGTGTGAATCCCTCAGTCCCTGATACCTCCCTTGGCACACAGGTCTCCACTTCTCCACTTCTCTGCCATGTAGAATCATAGAATACTTTGGGTTGGAAGAGGCATTTAAAGTCATCTAGTCCAACCCCTCCATAAGCAGGAATATCTTCAAATGATTATTCAGAGCTCTGTCCCACCTGACATTGAATGTTTCCAGGGATGGGACATCTATCACCTCCCTGGGCAAACCATTCCGGTGTACATTTGTACCTCTTGTCTTTGAGATCTCTTCAGGGAATGCAGAGGGAAAAATTAATTCCAAATCAGAAAAGAACATAAGAGTATTTTTTATTACCCCTGATATACTGTTGATGTGCTTTAAACTGGATGGGATGTCCAAGTGTTGCCCTTCACAGGTGTGCAAGCTCTGCCAAGGGCAGAGTGCTTCCCACCTGGAGAACATTCCCAGCTGAAGGAGGCAGCTGGAAACCATTCCTGTTCCCCTGCAAAGATGCTTGTTAACTCTGTGGCACACTCTTATTTGTGGTGCAATTCTTCTTTTGTTAATTTCATTCAATAACTTGATTAATATGACTCAATTACAACAATTTAAAGCCAATAAAGCACACGGCATCTATCATACATACGCCGTGATCGAACAGGTTAGAAAGAGACAGTGGCTTTCACAGCTGCCAAGCATGTGCATGGGACAGTTTGTTTTCCTCATCAGGCAGGACAAAGGCATGCATTATCTGGGTGAGGGAACAGGGAAGCAGACATGTGGGTGAGGAGCTGCTGTGTTCAGACATGGACACACCAGCCAGCTCCTGACAGGTCAGGAGCCTCCCACCACTGTGGGGTAAAAGCCTACCCTTAATGGCACCAGTGCAGCCCAAATTCACACCCCACCATCCTCTGCTGGTGAAACATGTTGATTTTGTTTCTATTTCTGTGTTCCAATTTGTCTTGTGCCAATTCCTTTCTAGCCAGAACTGTGGACACACATACCCTACATTTCTTGCTGTGCTTTGGTGTGCTGGCCTTCTCTGCAGCCAAGGTAACACTCCCCCCCACCTTTTCAACCTTGCACCACATTCAGCAAGGGACGGTGATCATTTCAGAGGTTACACTTCAAGGACCAACCCTCCTGCAATGGGGCAACCCGTCTCACCCACCTGTCCTGCAGCTACATGTGCCATTTGAGTAGCAGCACACTCCTGGCGTGGCTTATGCCAATAGATGTGTTCTCAGAAGTGATTCAAGATATGCAGGCCAGGGACATTTCCCATACCAGCATTACAAATGAGGTCGCTTTGTTTTGGGTGGAGGGTTTAGTACTTGGTTGTTAGATGTCATATTACTCACTGTTGGGATTGGAAATGGGCTCATTTTATTAAATTGTCAGAGATACCAAGCCTCCCCAGTGCTGAGGGCAAGGCAAGTACTCTGTTTCCCATGCAGAGGTCTCCATCCCAGTTCCAGTGCTTGTCCTATACCCCAAGACTGCAGGTTCCCATTTCCCAGTCAAGCCCAGGTGGCAGATGAGGGCAATATGTACGGTGAGACCCAGACTGGTGTTTGTAATGCCTTGTTTTACACTTTACACAGCTCCTGCTGCCTTTGCTGGCCTGATGTACTTGTTTGTGAGGCAGAAGTACTTTGTGGGCTACCTTGGGGAGAGGACTCAGAGGTAAGGACTTGCAGAGCCTCTTTTCAAAACCTGGAATGTGGCAGCAGCACAGCCAGATGATGCCAATTCTGTGGGCACAGCCTCTGGCTTGTGGTGCTGCCTGCAGCAGCTGCTGACATTGCTGGCACGGGAAAGCTCCCTTCTTTTGGATGAATGGGGGTAGCTGTGAGAGACCTTGAGTGTGCATCATCACCAGGGTCAGGGGGGCTGCAGCTCCTGTTCACAGCCTCTGCAAGCACACACATTTGCATGTTGGTGCCACTATTTGCACAAGACTGTCCTTTTATATTAATAAAGCCTATTACACACACACGTGGAACAAAGTTGTCTCACAGCCTGTGATGGCTGAGAAGACATTCAAGTCCCTCTTGAATAGCCACTTTTGTAAGCAGCAGTCTATGATGAGAACAGGAGGTCAAACAGACCCATGTGGATCCTGAAAACGACATTTAAGACCTTGCAGCTGCCTTGAAATGCAGGGTGGAACAGAAATTTGCTTCCTCTGTCAGCCCCTGAGATCTTTTGGCTGGTCTCAACAGCAGAGTCTGAAGTCTGAGTGTTCTTGTGTGAGGTGATGCACATTAACGAATTGCTTTCCCCTGTTTCTGTCTCCTCAGCACTCCGGGTTACTTGCTTGGAAAGCGCATCCTTTTTTTCCTGTTCCTCATGTCTGTGGCTGGAATACTCAACTACTATCTCATCTTCTTTTTTGGAAGTGACTTTGAAATACACATAAAAACGATAACCAGTGCGATCTCTCCGTTGCTGCTCATACCCTAGCTCCCCACAGCACTGAGGGGGTCAGCATGCTTCGTATATTGATACCCAGAAGCTGCCATAATTCAACTGTTTAAGAAATAAACTCATAACCTATGAGCTTGATGGGCTTTGTAGTTTGATTTAACCTTACGTTTTTCTTCAGCAAAAAAGATTTGTCACAAACACTTGGCACACCCATGGAATGATAACAACTTCCAGCTAATTCCATAGGTTTTTTTCCCTCTGAAGAGCAGCTAGCAAGCTGATTGCATGACTGGAAGGGACATTGTTTTCTTGCTTCATAACTGTGTTGTACTTAGCTTTTGTCCCAAACCTCAGGATCCTCTCAGTGTTGTTCCTGACTGGTGACTGCCAGTTACCCTCATATGCAGGCATAAACTTTCACCAGCGTCCTGCCTGCCCTGCCCACACAAAGGCATGGACCAGTCTCTTCACCTGCCCTTTCCCTCCCACTTGTTGATGACCAAGCCCCCAGTGTTGCAGGAGGGTGGCAAATTGGTCCCTCTCTGGTCTTCCTTGATAAATATTCATGTGCATAACACTCACCACACTGATCTCATTTGTACTTCAGCCTGTTTGTTCTCAGAGAGCTGGGGAAAGGAGTCTTGTGTAAATGAGGAGCTGGTGTATTGCTGGTGAGGTTGGGTTTGTTTTGATTGGCTTTGTTTAATAAAACAGTCTAAAAGGATGAAATCTGTTTGCTGCCATCTTCTTTGCCTGGTGCGTGATCCCAGTGCTTCGAGGCTCAGCAGCTGGCTGGGGAGCAGAGTAAGGGGAGTAGCACTGGGCTCTTAGTGCGAGCTACTAATCGCCCTGGGCACGGCCTCGCGAGGACAAGAGCTTAACAACTCCCTCTCTATTAGCGAGTTAGTGTTCTGCCTCCATCACTAACAATGCGCCCCACACGACCATACCAAGCAGCAGTTTGACTAGCGATGTGGACTGAGGTAGGCAAACAGGTCAGTGCAATCTTTTTAAACATTGCTACCCTACGAGAGCTTAAGCTCTTAAGCCTGTCTGATTGCTGCATGCAGGATGGATAAAGCTGTATTTTATGACTCCTTCGGGAGGGACTGAGATTCCTCGCTATGTGAGAAGAGGATTTGCAGAGCCGTTTACAAAAGCAGGCGCAGAAAGCTGCCTGCCTTTGTACCTCACCAAGGCTGGAGGGTTTTGGTGCTGTCTGATGGGGCAGAGGTGTTTGTGCATGGCCATTCACACTGCCCAAATAACATGCATCTTTCTTTTTTAAATCTTCTACAGGAATTTTAGATGTGACAAGATTAGTAGTAAACACATTTATTGCATGATGATTATAAATGTTCTCACTGGTTAGAATTAAAAAATACAATCTAGCCTTCTAACTTAGAGCTGCTGACACACTTTATTCCCAGGTAGGGCACTTATGTTCCTTCCCTCCCCTCCTTCTCAAAGAACCATAACACATTCCAAACCCTCCTCCACAACAAGCTTTTCTGCCATAGCTTTCTCCACAGCTCATTGCCAGCTGCCCATCCTTGGCAGTGCCCTATCACCCCTCTGCCCTAAGCCATTAGCCCACCAAGGAATGGCAGCACCCCCAGAGGAGAGGGGTAACCCCTGTGACCTGGAGTTACAGAGCTCTTCTGCATTGCTGGTATCAGCAAAGGCTCACACTGCCATCACCTTTACCTGGTTTAGAGGAGGAGAAGCTTCACCAGCTCCAGTATCTGCTCTCCAGCCTGACTGATCGCCCTGAGTCTGAGACTTGTTTATGAAAACTGTCACTTATGGGAGGTGACTCTCCAAACCCTATGTGTCCACCCTGCAGGTCTCCCCAGATGGATGAGTCTCCCCTGATGCCTTGTTGTCCCCTATATCAAGAAGCATCTCACTTGATTTCCTTCTTCTACCTGCTAGCATGAAAAGAGGCACTCCACCAACCAACAGTAAAAGGCAGAGGATTCAAATGTCTATTTTGGGTCAGATAATCTATCCCTGCACTCTCCAGCCTCTCGGTTGGACTTAATGATCCTTGTGTGTCCCTTCCCACTCAGGATATTCTATGATTCTCTGCAGACTGTATGGCTGGTTTCTACACAAGCTGTTTTTAGCTAAGATTAAGTCATCTTCCAGGGGAACTAAGGCCCATTTATTTTGCAAGAATATCTCCTACTTGCTTCCTCAAAGCCTTTCTGACAACAATGAGATTAAAATGTAGGCAAAATCCATTTTCCATCTACCCATAAATGGAAACAGTGATAGTATCAGGCAAACAGGTGGTACATAAATTGATCACTATGTAAATTCTTGGTGAATGTCACGCTGTGTTTTCCATGTTACAGGCAAGCCTTGTGGTTGCATTTGCCTTCCCACTCTTTCTGTGAAGCAAAGGCAGCGTCAGTGATATTTGGGCTTTCCCCACTGTGTTAGACAGCTCCAGTTTTGGTTTTCAGCAGCAAAACCACCCTGATCTTGTTGGTACAGTTGTCAGCACTTAGCACACTTTACTCAGAAAGCTACACACACACAGGCCCATTGCAGGGGGGTTAGACTAGATGACCTTTAAAGGTCTCTTCCAGCCCAAATCACTCTATGATCCTATGATTCTCTAGATCCACATGCAAAAATGCAAACCCTACCATAAAAGATGTACAGACCCACACTGTGGCCACATGCACACGATCCTACAAGGACCTACTGAGCTGCACTGGGCATGGGGACACGGTTGGTGGCAGAAGTGGCAGTCCCCTCTGATGGCTCCTACTTTAAGGCTGGCTTGCAAGCTCCAGAGGCCAGCACCCATGTTTGGCACGGCACAGCAGCTTCTGACCTGGAGCCATGGTTGTATATGGAGAGCTAACGCTTCCCAGTTCTGCTGATCAGCAACCGTGTGGCCAGCAGGACCAGTGAAGTTATCATCCCTGTGTACTCAGCACTGATGAGGCACTCAGGCACATATCACTCTACAACCACTTGAAAGAAGGTTGTAGTAAGGAGGGGTTTGGCCTCTTCTCCCGGGTGACAAGCAATAGGACAAGAGGAAATGGCCTCAAGTTGCACCAGAGAAGGTTTAGATTGGACATGAGGTAAAATTTCTTCACTGAAAGAGTTGGAACAGGCTGCCCAGGGAAGTGGTGGAGTCACCATCCCTGGATAAAAGATGTGTAGATATGACACTGAGCACGTAGTTGAGTGGTGGACTAGTGGTGTGCAGTGCTGGGTTAATGATTGGACTGAATGATCTTAAGGGTCTTTTCCAACCTAAATGACTCTGTCACTGTGCCGATGCTGCTAATCGTCCCATTCGCCGTGCTGCCAGGCTGTGGGCTTTACTTCACTAGTGGTGCCCTGGCTCATTGCCATGGTGTGCCACGGCCACACCTTGTGGCTGTTTGTGCATCAAAATCCCACGTACACAAATAAACATTCTGTCTGCATGTGTATATGCACAGGCACAGCATGTTCCCTTGCTATATCTGTATCCATCTACCTATCCATATATATGTATTGTAGGTGCTGAGTCATGTGAATGCTGGAGGCTGCTGGGGAAGGCAGGGAAGCAGGTTGCTCCGGCACCAGCCCTCTCACAGCTTGCAGGCTGTGTACATCAGAGACTGCAGAGACTGCTGGAAGCCGGGATATCGCAGGATGCTTTTGATCTGCTGACAAAGGCCTGGAGTACATACAATATTTCTTCCACAGTAACTGCATCTGCTTCCGTACAGCACTACAACCCTCTAGTGGAAACTTGGCCCTACTGGCACAGCGGTGCTGCTGGCCATGGGATGTGCAGTTCCTTTGAGGTCTGAAGCTTAACAGGGATACAACAGCATCTACATTTCTGAATAGACGCATTGTTGCTATTTTTTTATTATTCTTGGCACAGAAGAGGCCCAGTCCAGAAGCAGGATCCCTACCCCACCCCTGCCAAAGCAAGCAGTCCTGCTTAGCACTGGATCCCAGCAAGCAGGTTGCATCCAAGTGGGATAAGAAATCTGTGTGCACCACCCACGGGGGTTTCCTGAAGTCTTTCCTAGATTCCTACTTTCCCAGAACAGGCAAAATCATCCTGTGCAGTATCAGCTTGTACTAAGCCACACCTCTGCTGAGTCAAGTTTCCAAATGAGTCTCTGAGGACTGGGAAACTGCTGGCATGGAGCAAAGACTGGCCCTGGGCAGCTTCTTCAGCTCTACCCTGCTCTGAGCTTAATTTAGTCTATCAGACTAGCCAGTTTAACATTCACGGAAACCTTTCCAATACCCTGTTGGGGTGGGATACTACAAGGCACCTAGCACTGGCCCAAGGCAGTGGTGTGCCTCTTGTAGATGGCAATGGGAGCAGGTTTAGGCCATGTTTGGAAGTCGTCCATCCTTGATAAGTGGAAGGGCAGTACAGAATGAGAATAGTGGTAAAACCATTCCCCGTGTGATTTTAAATGGGTCTCCTGTCCCATCTGGAGTTAGCAGGATGAGCATTCCCATGGAAAAGTCCCTCAGTGAGGGGCTCTGCAGAGCCCAGCAGAGCCCACCAGCACCCTCACAGAGGACATGCTGCTTGCTGGGAGGGGGAAGGACCTTGGATGCCATGATGTCCCTTTGGAGCACCTGGGGGACAGGTACAAGCTTCACAGGCCCGTTGGGTAATGAAGACTGCTGTCCCTGGAGTCACTGGGACAGTGACAGTGCAGGACAGTGCAGGACTTCTCAGCTGTGGCTCCTCTCAAGGCAATTCAGTGCCTCAGGGGGTGAGGATGGAGAAGCAGCCACTGCATGGCTGAGTGGCTGCAGTGGAGGAGGCACTCTTAGCACCACTGTTGTGAACCCCAGGAAAACACATCCCATGGAGAGGGGGAACAGCTCAAGCTGGTGCCTGACCTCTGCCCCTTGGTGTACCTGCCCTGGCAGAGGGAGGCTGTGGGCAGGAAAGCATGAGCATTGCTCTGTCCTGCCTGCCTGTCAGAGCTTCTCACTGCTCCCAGCCAGTGCATAGAGACAGAAACTGGCAAAAGTGAGATTCT